TGTGTGTGTGTGTGTGTGTGTGTGTGTGTGTGTGTGTGTGTGTGTGTGTGTGTGTGTGTGTGATAAGAAATTAATGGAAACCCGCAATTTATTCTTGAAACTTTAGTCATTTGAAAACGTTAATCCAATATCTTGGGCATCTACGTCTAAAAACTTAAAAAGGCTTAAAAAAAACAAAAACAACTCTTACCTGAATTTTGTTAAAAGCCAAATTATATTGTATCACTAGTTACAATTTACAGAAAGTCTGTTTGAGTTTTCAGGATAAAATCAAGCAGGCTATTTTTTCTGAGCATCCTAATTATGTTATGACTTGTTCAAATAAGAAACTAAAGAATTTTTTTTAATATTTTCTAAATTATTTGTCTATAAAATGGTTTTCCAGTTTAGTATTAAGCACTTTTATTGCTTTAATAAGTCTAAATGAGTCTCTAAAAACCAAATTTACAGATAAGATTGTGAACTGACCTCCATTAACAGCATCTTGTGTGAGTCTAACTCTGAATCTTTAACCAAATTTTAGAAACATGCATGTCATATTACATTTCTGTCTAAAGGTTGCCCAGCTCCAAAGAACATGAATGTGTTTTTAGTTTTATTAAATAAGATTATTTTGATTAAGCACAATAAACATTACCAGGTTAGTACAAATGACTTCATTAGGCGTTAATAAGGGAAGTGAGATATAATCCGCATCTCATAGCAGGGGTCTACATAACCATTGTTTAGGTTGTCCAAGACAGCCTATTTTCATTTCTGACAACCAGATCCCACTTCCCAGTTGTCCGGTGGACAACCATGAAAAAAAGACCTAGATTAAAGTTTGTCTGTGTTTGTCATTGTAAAAACGAATGAGAGAAAAAAAAACTAGTTAAAGCTGTCTGGTTCTTTCACTCTATAAAGAGAACCACTGTCAAAGTTTTACCCAATCAGAACAGAGCAGGGCGGGTCGTACCGTCTGACTGACAGCGCTGTCTTTTTCCTCTCTCTGTGATGGAGGGTCAGCTCGGCTCAGGCGAACGTGTCCCACGAAAGCCCTCAGCTTTTCCTGGACTATTTCCACCGAGGATTACGTCGTATTTTATACATATTATATTCGTAAAAGCAGCTCACAGCATTTCTACCGGAACACCGTGCCTTCACGACTCGAGCACAACAAAACCACGACAGATCAGCTGACTGTTTTTAAAGCGAGGGCTCAGGGAGGCAGCTTGACCAGCTGCTGCACCTCTCCACGCGCATCGCGGCTCCGACCAGCCCGGGACTTTAAAGTCCACATGTCAACCCCTTCAGACGGTTACTTGTATAATGAGCATCAAAAATCTGTTATTTGCGCTAAAAAAATCTGTAGTAATCACACACGGGTGGAGTGGAGGTGCAAGCGGACCGCAGCTGTGCAGGGTGGGGAGGGGGGGCTGCATTTTTTAAAGACGTGTCTACGTTTGACTTTTATTTTTTCTAATATCACAGAGTTCTGAGTCAGCTTCAGGTGCTTATAGTTAATATCTTCTAAATTTAACCAGGTGTTTCAATGCATTTAAATTACACAATAATTGTACTGGAGAAACTTGTTAGTTTGAAAAAAATATTTTTACTGTTTTTTTAACAGTAAAAATAATTTTTTTCTGTGCAAAGAACTTCCTCTGCTATAATTTATTTTTCAAATAAACAATCAAAGCCCCTCAGTTGAAAACACTAAAATGATGTTTAAAATCCTCTTTCCTCTGAAAGTCTTCAGTCTTAAGAGCACTAAACTGTAACTTTAATAAGGTCATGTACACAGTTTACTCCTATTTAAATAAAAATGTTTGACCTGTAAGCAGAAAGCTTATGGATGGATGTTGTTTTTTTATCTCTATTTCAAAGAGGATGAGGAGGAGAATGAGGAAGTTCTCCTCAGGCAGCTCCTGAAACTGTTAACCRGCTGACTGAGAACATTTGTATGTACTAAACTTTGTATACAAAACAATATACTTATTAAATTACATTGTAACTCATGAGAGGCCACCACACCACCACGGTTAAAAAAAAATCCTAGGGGAAACCCTGCACATGCAACCACATCACTCACAGCACACTGTGACAGAAGACCCTCGTTGGCTGCATTGTACTGTATGTGCAACACAGCCGACGTTGCACACCCCCGTGTTGTCCATCGCCTTTCTCATGTTGCTGGCATTGTCCCTCACAATCAAGTGAATTTTGCTCAACGCAATTTGCCACTTGTCAAACATTTCCTTCAGGCTAGCTGCTATGGCTCCGCTTGTGTGTGACCCACAAAAGTTTGTTGCGTTCAACATTGCGCTGTGTGGCACAAAACTCTCATCCAGCCAGTGTGCTGTTAAACATAAAAGTTACACGGGGGAGACGTCAGAGCTCCAGATGTCTGTCGTGAAACTTATGGCTTTGACATACTGTATTTTATCTCCTCTAATATGCGCTTGCACAATTTACCGTGCAGTTCAGGTAGAACCGTTTCTGACAAATATTTTCTGCTCACCATGTCGTAGCATGGCCCCAGCTGGTTAATTAGCAGCTGGAATCCCTTATCTCCAACAACTGAGAGTGGCTGTCCATCCATGACAATAAAGTTTAGTATCCCCTCAGTGATTTTTGTTGCCTGCACACTATTAGGTGGAAACATTTCACCTCTTTCCATCATCTCCTTCAAAGTTAGCTGCTTCATGCGCCTCCTTTTTGTTGACTCCGTTCAACAAACTCGGTGTGCTCTTTCYGGTGAAATTGCTGGAGATGCTTGATTAAGCTGGTTGTGTTGTAGCTTGAAGCTTTGCTTCTGCCCCTTGGAACAATCACTGCACATGTATTTCATGTAGCCATCGGATGTGTTGGGTGAGCTAAAGTAAAAAAACTGATTCTTTCGCTCACTCCATTTTGAAAACGGTGTGTGCCACTGCACTGCGTGTTGCTGGCGCAMGATGTTACATCACTCGCAGAACTCAGCATAGAAATAAACTGTATAGATCTGCCCCTATGGATCGGGTCCATTGTCACGATACCAGACCTAGAAATTTGTTAAATACCGGGACCAATACAGAAATTGGTATCAGATCGGTACATCTCTAGTAAAAAAACTGTTGGTGGGTCAGAAAAGTTAGATGTAAGACTAAGATGTGAACTGAGTTTATGCTAGGTTTAGGGTCAGGTATGTTCTGGGGTGGTTAGYTTTATGGTAAGGGGTCTGGATTAGGCTATAGAAATTACATCTAAATGAATGAAAGTCAATGCAAAGTGTCAATGAGGATAGAAAAGCAAACTCATACATGCATACTGTATGTACTTGAATATACTAATCCCTACAACCCTATGCATTTAGGTCATGTGAGTCATGTTACTTCTTTTTCTTTTTTTCGTATCTTGTATTCTACTTATTTCTGTTTTAATCTTTTATTGGTGTGTGCAATAAGCAAAAGCCACTGGATGCCTTGAATTTTCCCCTMGGATTAATAAAGTATCTACTAGTCTGATTGTCTGTCTAAATCCTGACTCAGCATTCAGACTAATGTATAATGTACTACATTTAAATAGATTCACTAACCTTTACTTATGCACTCTATTGCAGTTCATCAAAGACATCACTGTCACCATCGATAAAGCATATTTTGAAGATTGTGCAAGATTGAAGAAGATTATCTCCTCTTATAGCTATGAAAACAAAACGTCCTCTTACAAAGTGAGCGGGAAATTTGAGGAGCTGGAGAACATGGTGGATTTACTTAAGAGAAATCAAGCATCTGTCACTGTATCTGCACTTGTGATGGAATACATTCAGCAAAAATATGCAGAAACACTAAAAAAAATTAAAGGCAAGCTTTTTACTATTGAAATCCGACCCTGCCTCAGTGCTCAGCTACACAAAACAGTTCAGGTGACTTTCGGAACCCAAAGTGAATCATCCTACCCTCCTAGCAGTGTGAGTTTAGAGTTTGTGAAGCAGCGGTTCATCACTTTCTACCAGAGAACAGCATCAGACCTGCAGGTTGCAGCTTTCACTCTGAACCCGCATGACACACAAGTTTTTCAAAAACAGTTTCCTTTCCTTCTTTTCCAGACAAGCTCCAGCAAAACTGTGACAGTAATAGGACCTTTTGCAAACTTACAAAAACTGAAAGCAGTTATTTCACAAAATCCACCAAACTTAAGTAGCAGTCAAAAGAACAGAGTTCCAGAACCCAATCCAAGTGGCAAATCATCAAGTTCTTCATCTAAACAAAGTAAACACAATGAAGATGAGCCATGTCCTATCTGTATGGAGCCAATCAGAGCTGGAAGGAAAGAAACACTTGGATGCAAGCATTCTTTCTGCAGCAGCTGTCTGAAAAAAGCCTTCGACTTCAAGCCTGTTTGTCCCATCTGTGGCAAAGTGTATGGTATTCTGAAGGGGATACAGCCTGAAGGAGTGATGAATATCACTAAAACGCCCTCATTTTTACCTGGATATGAAGCGTATGAAACGATAATCATCCATTATCACATCCCAAGTGGCATTCAGAAGGTAAGAGTTCTCTACAATTTAAGAATCTATTGTATCTTGCCCACCACCAAAGGCAAGCGCAGGTGATAATGTTTGTGCCTGTGTCTTTGTGTGCACGTGTGTGTTCATGTGTCTCTGTTGTCAAAATATCTCATGAATCACTGGATAAATCTTAATGACTCTTACAAAAAGCAATCATTGGAATGTACATTTAACACTGTTCAACTTTTCAAATCAGCGCTGGTGCTCCGCCCATGCACAGTCCATGCACAGTCATATATATATATATATATATATATAAACTTTATAACTCCCAGTGGTCATTCCAAAGTGAAATTACACAGGAGAGCTCAGTCAGACATGTCTTCAAGCATCATCAAGAGTTGGGGGCAGTAAAGAGAAAAAAGAAGAGACAGCGAGATGATGCTGCTCGTGCATCACTTGTAGGTAAGTTAATTGATTTAAATAACTATAGGGAAATTTATAATATTTAACACTTGTGTGCCCATGCCTGGTAACATCTGTTATATTGTTAGCCCCTAACTACTAACTGWATCTAGCTAGCTAGCTAAGCTACTTCTGACGAAGCTTCACTTGTGGCTTCCAATAGTTCTTTTCTTGCTATTTCTTTTACCCATTCGATTTAATCAGTAAAACATTAGGCAAGTTTATTTTAACCCAAGGGTATGTATTTATTAATTTATTTGGCATTTGTTACAAGAACCCGGCCATCAGTATTTCTGTCAGTGAGAAAAAGATTCAGAATCAGCTTTATTGGCCAAGTATGTTGACACACACAAGGGATTTGTTTCTGGCTGATAATGTCTCTCCAATGCACATACATACAGTACCATATACACAGTGATAGAAGCATAATATCATAAAACATAAATATTATAGTATGTGGATTATCTACAAATACATATTATGTACAAAATAACACTAATGGTGATCTTCAACAATGAAGAAAATAAGTTAAATGGAAAATGGCTCTTGGTAATGTAAAAATTAAAGAAACCTTTCATTTGAACGTGATGTGGCCTGACAAAATAGATATGTATTTGGATGGATGGATGTCACGTCTTGCTGGCGACATTGTCCTGTATTAAACTCTTATGAAGTTGTTATTTCTTGCAAGATTTTATTACTATTTAAAATGAAGCTAAGATTTTTGTTAACAGTATGGTTTGCACAAATTAAGAAAAAATAACTTGTAWAAATGATGTAGAGTTGTGTAAAACATGCCTTTTGTACTTCATGTTTCTGCAGCATCAAGCATGCTGACCAGCTCTGACAGCTCATTCATGATAGTATTTATCAATCAAACCTGAGCCTTAGTTATTTAAAACGAATAAATAAAAAAAATCAAGTAAATATATTTTATTTGAATTTATATGTAAATGACACATTTAGAACAATCCAAGTTTAACCAAAATTGTCTTCAATAAAAAAATTTACAAAATAATACAGTACAATAAGTGTTTATGCTGTTTGTGGTTTTTATGTAAATAACTAAAAAAAACTTCAGAAATTTTTTTGTAAACCATACAAACTTTTTAACATCAGTACCAATCATTTCAGGTGACAAATAATTGTCAAATAATTTATTTTTATTAAATAGAATTATTCTTCAGCTACAAACCAACAGCTGCATATTCCAACAGTTGAAGGTGGTATCTGTTACCAACAAGAATTAACCCAAAGCTGGTACAAGTTTTCTTCTTCTTTTTGTCTGGAAATATAAAAAACATATTGCGTGTAGAAAAAATAATAGCTAAATAAACTGGACTGTATGACAAGGGCAGTATTATTTTATATTATGACATACACCGAACAGCTCAGTCATGACATCACATGACTGGCTCTGTCATTAGCAAGTATACATCATAATTTTTTTTATATATTATGCAGTCATACTAGTCAGTCCATTAAAAATCCATATTTTATCAGTTAGTAGATGTCAGATGTCAGGTTCTATAAATGTTTTTAAATGAACATGAAAGCTTTTTGAATATTAGCAAACTGGTTTGGCTGTAATGACTACCAGTGAAACAATCCACTGTGCTCTTGTAAACTTGTTATATTTCAGCAGTTTATTGCAAAACAATAGTGCTTCATGTACATTTATTATACATGTGTTTATACCGTGTCATGGTCAGCTCAATGCATAAAAATCTCCCTTGTGTAGCACACACAGGTTATGTGATGTCCAATCCAGTAAATAAACAAGCAAAAAGTAAGAAAAATCGTGTTTGGTAGATTATTTCTTTGTTGTAACAACGCTTCTTGGCTATTAATCTCAACTATCTGTTATTTCACTTTTAAATGGTGCCAGATTTGTAAGGAACATGTATTTGTGAGATGAGCAGTAGAGCTGAGTATGTGCACATGAAAAAATTGCAGAATCTTTTCTGCCAATGCCAAAGATCTTATTTTGTTGTTGTTACTGACACTTGTTTTAAACTTCTGAAACCCCCAGAAACTTCTGAAACTGTATTTAAGTGTAGCATTCCTAACTATTTTTTATTGTATTCCTGGACTAATATAGGGTCAGTGCAAGGTGGACCTCAAGGCCAGGAGGCCAATTCCCATGATCAGCCATCCACCAGCACTTCAAACCCATGTCAGCCACCAACCAGCAGCTCTGTCAACTTTGCAGCAACACTCCAACCAGCAGTTCAGCTACAACCACCACTTCTGAAGACAGAGTAAAGCCTGCAGTATGGTCGCTTGGCAGCCAACTGGACGACACCCTCACATGGTTGTTCGGTGTTCGTTTTTGCATACACCTTCCATAACTCCTAAGACACCCCGTGCCGAGCACCTGGGAAACTCCTCCCGCTGCAGCATACGTCACTGCATGGGGTTTTCTTCCTGCTGTAGTCCTCATTGAGGAAAAAAAAAAGTCAGACTCATCACCTGACATTGTTTATGTACAAACAGGTCCCAGATTAAGCTCTAAAGCGATGGCCCTCTTTTGCATATGACTAACCTGTTTGTCCATGTGGAGGCAGTGCTTATAAGGCTGAGTTCACCTGAAACTCATCAGACTGAAGAAGTCTCTTGGATGAGAGACGAAACGTTTCACTAAAGAAGAAGCCATCCAGAGGACCTACTTATTTTTTCTTTTTGATTTTTTTCTACCTGGATTACTGAGATGCAACAGAACATTATGCTCTAAAGATTTAACAGTCAGATTCCACCATGAAAAATGTCTGTTTTATCCCTTTTTATGAGTTTTTGGCTGTTTGACTATCTATAAACCTCTGCTTCCTGTTACATTTATAAATTATAGAAGACTGGTCCAAGTACAGAACACTGAGGAAGTCCATGACTAACTCTGGTGTAAGAAGAAGATTCATTATTAACATTTAAAAACTAGAATCTGTCAATTAAAACAAATTAAACCTTTTTAGAGCCATTATCAAGTTCAAGCCTCTGTAACAAAATATTGTGATCAGTTGTATGGACACATATAGACATTAAAGACAAATTAAGCAGATCCAGAATATGGTTATTGATTAGGGAAAGGCTTCTTTGAACAGACTGATTGGGATGGGATCTAACAGACATGTTGATGGTTTGAATCTATTGATTGATGGTCTATTATTTTTGATAATTCAGTGAGTTCAACAAAACAATTGTTGAAAGGAGAAATCGTATTTATACAGTTTTAAAGTCTCTCCACCGGCTCCCTGTCAAATTCAAAATAGAATTTAAAATCTTATAATTACAAAGCTCTCAACAACCAAGCTCCATCTCATGTTAAAAAACTTATTGTCCCATATTTTCCCAATTTTTTCAAGTGATGTTTACATTAAAGTAGTAATATTATCAATAAGATCACCTAAATTACTGCTCTCTGCTGCATTATTCTGTAAAACAGAGGAAAATAAAAATGGAAGAAATTTTTTAAATTTGGCTGAAGCTTTCTCTGATAAACATCAAAAAATAAAAAATACAAATCACACGTAAAATGAAAGGAAGCAGAAAGAAGAAACAATCTTATATCTGCCCCTATTTTCCAAAAAATAATTTCAAAACAATAATGTTTAGGTAACAAAACAAAAACTTAAACTCATTCATAAACAACAGCTCTTAAGAGATGCATCAGGACAAACAGCTCTTATGAATACGCATTATACAATTTCATATTTCTTTAGCAAGCCATCTTTTGTCATTCTTTTAAATTGAACCAGCATTTTTATAATCGCTTTCCAGGTTATTCCACAGTCTTATTCCTTGGACTGAAGTACATCAGTCCTTCAAGTTTGTTTGAGTTTTAGGTTTTACAAACATCTCTAGTCCCCTAAGATTATAACTGTCCCTCTTAACAAAATTTGATGGATGTTTAAAGGTAATACAATTTTATGAYCCTTATAATAACCTGCAAAATATTAAAAWCAACCAACTCGTAAAATTTTAATAATTTCAATTGATAAAATAATGTATTTGATGGGTGACTGAAATGTTTTCTGGTGATAATTCTGACAGCTCTTTTCTGTAAAATAAAAATAGGATTTGTAATTGTTTTACATGCTTTCCCCCAGACTTCCAATACAATAAATCAAATGTGGAACAATTATTGCATTATATGATATAAACTGTGTCTTATCATTAAATAACTACCTAACTATTTATGTTCGTAAGTGATTTATTATGAGATTTCCGTGTCAGTTTTTCATCAATGATGACACGCAAAAACTTCACCTCACTAACTCTACAAATCTCAACACCATCAACTCTAAATGGAACATTTATTGATTTAGTTCTCATTCTGTTACTGAATTTCATATTAGTTTTATCCAAATTTAATGATAATTTATTAAGTTGAAACCAAGTTTGTATTTTTACAAATTCTGTTTGCATTATTTCCACCATTCTATACCTTTACCCAAACAAAAATAAAAACATGTATTATCTGCAAATAATACACATTTACCAAGTCATTCACATATTAAATAAATAACTTTTGGTCCAACTACAGAACCCTGGAAACTCTACATTGGATATTACAGAGT